ACAAAATACATATTTTGATTACGATTAGCTTTTTTATTTTAATAAAATCAAGAGATGTGTCGGGAAAAGAATACATCAAATATTTTGTCAGTTTTTTTTTTTTTATGCAACCAGCTCTATTACATTGTAGTATTTGTTCAAATACTTTCTCAACCTACTGAAATACAAAGATCCAATAACGCTACCACTAAGGCTCGAACTTACAACCTTCTAGATGGAAGTTCAACCCAGATACCATTAGACCATATAGTCCTAATATTATGGAGGGTATTTACTTAAACGTGTTGAATAAAACGTAAATATGTGTGGTGTAACAACTAACAAGCGAGGAAGGCAGACAAAAGTAGATTGTAGGTAGCTAGAAAGTGTGTAGAGAGAGATATAGCAATTGCCAACTGCTCCATCATATCATATCATCATACAACATGTAAATCTGGTTGCAGTCAACATCAAAATTCTCGAAATTTATTTGTGAAAACCTAAAAAATAAAGGCAGATCACCAAACCAATTAATCAAGTACAAATACGGTGTGACAAGTTAGTCCAACAGTTAACTTAATAATTCTAATTAAAATTTTAAAGTTTGCTCTTCTTGAGATATGTTTATTGACCTTCATAATTTGAGTCGATTAAGTATATATAAATAATTTAAGTTGATTTATTTTTTTGTGATATTTTGTTGACAAAAATTACAAGACAGACTTCACTCACAATTGTGAACTTTTTAGCAAAAAAAAAAAAAAAAAAAAAAAAAGTACAGATACGATGTGCAAACCTAGCAAGTAGATGAAAGAAACAGAAATCTAAAAAAGTGGAGCAAATTAAATGCCACATGACAAAAGGCCAAGAAATTCATTAAATTTTTATTTTAAAATTTTTTAGTTAGTTGATAAGATTTAAAGATGGAAATGACAAGGGCTTTCATATTATGAATTATGTATTTATGTGTGGTCCCAACTAACAAATGGGTGGAAGCACATCACATGAAGAGACAATGTTAGAATAGGTGAGTAAACTATGAATTGATTGGTAGGTAAATTAGGAGGAAAATACCAATTGCCACTCCATGCCAATATCGTGACACGACACCTCTTTACATTTCTTCTCTCTCTCTCTCTATATATATATATATATATATATATAGAAGGGATCAGATGCGGCGGGGAAGAGTTTTTGTGCGATTGTGCGAAGGAACGCACCATAAACGTTAATTTAGCGCATTTTAAGTACACAACTCACGCATTAAACACAAAACTCACGCACCACGCACCTAAGGTTTTAAAAATGGTTCACTCTAAGTTTCACACAACTAACGCACTTTAAGCATACAAATCACGTACCTTAAGGAGAAAAATAATGCACATTAAGAAGGAAACTCACATACCTTAAGTTTCAACAACTACTCACATTAAGCACAAACTCACGCACCTTAAACACAAAACTCGCGCATCTTAAGTAAAAAACTCACGCACACAAAATCCACACACCTTAAGCACAAAACTCACGCACATTAAGTTTCAACAACTACTCACATTAAGTACACAACCAATGCACCGTAAGCACAAGATTCACTCACATTAAGTACAAAATTCATGCACATTAATCACCGCACAACCGCACGGAAACTTAATCAGATCTATGCATAAGATTAATTGGGAGAATTAAAAACGCATGTGTGCATATGGGGTATTAGTGAGGATTTTTTCTTATTTTTATTTTTATTTTTATTTCCCTTTTGGTCAATAGTGGGTTAAATAAAATGACAATTCTAACCTTGTTATAAAGAGGGGGGGGGGGTGGTAATTTTGGTCAAATTGACTAAGAATGAGTCGGAATGACTATTTGTGCTAAAAAAAATGATAGTCGTAAATTTAGTTTGCAAGGTTTGAAAATAGTGGAGTAATCGTGTTAGTGTCACAATACTCATGGAATTAAAAGTGCGTAAAATTATATATAAAGTGTAAATTATAATCCAATATAATCTTGTACAAAAAAAAAAAAAAAATTGAGTTACTTAAGAATACTCCTAAAAATATACTCCTGTGATTGATTGGCTAAGAAGAAGGCTATTGATTGTTGTGTCAAAGGTTGGTTTAAGTCCCCAATAGAAAGCACTCCTTTTCATGTAGTGTGTTTTAGTGCTATTATATTTGAATAAATAGTTTAGTCTTTACGGAGTACAGAGTATTATTTAAAGCTTTAAGATTCTAAATTTAACTTTTCGTGTGAATTGTTTATAAAAATTTTTATTTGAGTTGGTAAGTTTAAAAAATTTAAATTAATTTGTCTTTTTGAAGTATTTTGTTGATTAAGATCACAATATAGATTTTACTCTAAACGCATAGTAACTGTAAAATTTTCCATAATATTCGTTGTGATTGAAAATATTCGTTGATTATATAATTGGTGCATTCATTAATCTATTAATAAATAATTAACGTTGTGTTTATTATATTGAACAAAATTTTTTTATACTCTCATCCAATAATATAAGTGTAACCACTACCCAATGATATATATTGCATAAGTTCTACTCTTGTGGAATGCCTTACCGCACAAGAGGGACAAATCACACTAAAAAGACTTTGTATGATGAACTTGACTAATAAAATGTTCGCAATAATCAAATTTATAATCCAAATATGAGAATCATGTTCAACACATTCAGCCTCCCAGACACCACCCCGAAAGAGCATTTGGGAGAATGTAAATCACGGTGACTCAATGACTCAACAGACATGACTAAATGACGCTACACATTATAATTGTCAAGATTCAAACATTGATTTCTTCTCTCAAATACTGCAAACTAAGCGGTCCAGGCTTAATTCCCTTTACTTAAATAAATGCATAGTATATTGAATTAAAAGTTGGAAAGATTTTCTTTCAAAAAAAAAAAAAAAAAAAAGTTGTAAAAGATTTTGGGTTTACACGGTAGGAATTCTTCCACGTCATACCACTTTTTAAACATTAAATGCTGATTTTCTTCCACCGAAAATTCTTGCAAACACGAAGTGATATTTTCTTCCTTGTTTCATTTGTCCTACTTTTCTTTTCGTTCTATCTCAAAATAAGTTTGACACTAAATAATATTTAATTAAAAAAATTATATCAAACACAACTTTCTCTTATATTTTAGAACAGTAAAAATATTATTTTAAACCATAAAATTTCTCGTGATATAAAAGATACTTAACAATGGCAAAGAATAGTAAAAATATTACTCCGTATTTTAAACCATTAAATTTCTCTTTATATAAAAAAAAAATACTTAACAATAGTGAATTTACAGTCGTTATATTATAGACCGCGGTGCATGTGCACCGCGGTCAAAAACGACGCCGTTTCTTTAAGTAAAGAAACGGCCCGCCGTTAGTGTTAACGGAGTCCGTTTGTTTGGTGTATTAAACATCAACTGACACTACAGTATATCCAAACCGACACTGCAGTTATATCAAAATGATACTATAGTTATAGTGAAATGAAACTGCAGTGTATATAAACTGAAACTGAATAACATTTCACATATTTGAGTGTATATTGTACAATGAAGCTGTAATTATATCAAAATAATCATGTAGTTGTGTTTTAATGAAACTATAGTGTATATAAAATAAAATTAAATAACATTTTTACATATTTGAGTCTATAAATATCGAATGAAACTATAGTTATATCGAACTGAAACTGTAGTTGTGTTCAACTGAAACTGCAGTGTATACAAAATGACACTGAATAACAGAGTTACTTTTTGCAAAAGGGTGCGAAACGGCGGAAATAAACACTGTTAATTTTCATTTAAAAAAAAAGACGCGCGGTGCATAATCGATTATGCACCGCGGTGCATAATATAATTTGCCGTGAATTTAATGTGTGCCGTGAACACATATAATAAAGTATTAAAAAAAAAAAAAACGTTACGTGAGTTATGAAATATATTAGTAATTAGCCTAAGTTAATCGGCACAATATTAACGTAATATTAGTAATTGACCAAGGTTAATCGGGGCACAATATTGGCAAGACAAGTGGACCAGCCCAAGATTTGAATACCAACTGAGACCGCTGACAATCATTATTATGTGGAGTGTCGTTCATATTATCAAATAATATACATTCAGTACACAAATAATGTATTTTTAATATATTAAAAATGTATATTATATTTAAAAAAAAAAATACATTATTTGAGTACTGAAAATACATTAGTTTATATAATGTATACTCAACACACGAATAATGTACTTTTGATATATTAAAGATGTATTTTTGTTATGATCCACGTAACACTGTATGGACCATGGTCCACACATTAATTTGCCGACCGGGCTGCCACCACCAGAAGGTAAATTATACTGTCAATCACTGATAAATGCTCATGAAGATTATTTTTATTTACTGAAAATTTATTTTTAGTATATACTTAAAAATGAACCTTTCACCCCACTAAAATAGAACCTTTAAAAAATAAACATTCAGTATATTAAAAACAAATTTTTAGTATAATAAAAATGAACCTTATGAGTTATGTCAATGGTAATGATTGGCCCCAAAAGAAGACAATACATTATCAAAGAACTATTTTTGTGCTTTGATAAGAGACTCAGATCCCAGATATCTATCCACATTAAACTTCAACTAATATGGAGCCTAGCATTACAAAATAATTTTATTTTTTTAAAAATAAATCAAGAAAGAGGCTGCCATAGCTGATAATAGGCTCTTTGATAATAGTTGTTAGCTGAGTACATATAAAAATAACTTTCTCAAAAAGCTTATCGAAAAAGCTACTTTAAGCCCTTTTTTGAATTTTAGTATTTTGGAACAATAAACTATTACAAAAAGTTAATTAATCACACTCATATTGGTTGTTTAACCAAGTCAAACAGTTAAATAGTGGTTAAACAAACCAAAATTAACTGATAGACTAACTATTTTACCAAACAAGACTATAGAGTTGTTTATACAGGAGGAAACTTTTCAGACTCCAAGAAGAAATCGTGTAAAGTATCCAACTTTTCTGAATTGGAATATATATAGCTGATACATGTAAATTATGATCCCTAGAGTTATATTAAACTGAATAACTCCAAAATTTAGACATTACAATTCCCATGATAAGGAGGTTAATATAAACTATGGTGCCTATCAAAAAGTAAGGCAGAAATTTATTGGAGAAAAAAAAAATGCTACAATGCATGTAGAAACATATATTTTGGGTGAATTACCATGAAAACGGGCTCGCTCCCAGCAAGAAAATTTCATTCTCGACATCCTTCACCCATTGACAGATGCGATTGCAAATCTTTATTGCCAAAGCCTGCAAGGCAAGACAGAGTTTTAGTTCAGTAATTAATCGCATTTGGGAAGTATATTCACCCGCAGGCTTCTAGCATTCAATGTCCCAAGTACGTGGCATTAATAGATTCAAATGTGAAGACATCATTAAAATAGCGCGAACAAGAGCAAGAGACATCATGGACAAACCTTGTCTGCAAGAGGATCAAATGCCGCATAAAGCTCAAAATCCGGTGTAACCCAACAGAGAAGAACTGTGCCACAAAATGTAGAAGTCACTTGCATAAAAAGGTAAGATAGGATGCATATAGAGGGTGTTTGGTAAATAACTGTTAGCTGATTAGGTTAGTGGGTTTGACTAGTTGATAGCATCAGCTGATTGTAAAAAGATGTTTGATAAATTAGCTTATTATAGCTGATTACATGCAAAACGACTTTCTCAAAAAACTGATCAAAAAAGCTGCTTTGAGCAGCTTTTTGGATTTTAGCGTTTTGGAACAATAAGCTATTACAAAAAGCTAATTAATCAAACACTTATATTGGTTGTTTAACCAAGTCAAATAGCTAATGGTGGTCAACTGGTCAAATAAGTCAAAATTGGTTAATAAGCTAACTATGTTACCAAACAGGGCCAGAATCATATTTGATTGAGAATATCTCGCCATGAAATACTCATAATAAACGTGTTGAAGAAAAAGGCTGCAATAACAATACCATAGTTCTGGTCCCTTCTAAACTGAGTTCTGTGAGGCCCAATTTCTTTGTCATGCATTGACGAGTAAAGCTTTTGGTAAGCTCTATACAATCTGCATATAGGAAGAACAAAGTCCGATGGTGATGAAACAGGAAAAGTAACTTTCAGGAAATGCAGATTGAATTCGCAATTTCACCTTTTCTGCTGTTTAGAGGTAGTTATTGGCGACGAAAATTCTGAGGACACATACTGGTCAAGAAATATACTACGATACATGAAATGCCAAAGCCCAGCAGGACCTCCAGTACCGAAAAATGCGTCCCTAATATTTTCCGTGTGCCCTGTTGTTGGTCTTGGCTGACCCAGATGAGGGGATACAGATCCAGAGCGGATACCAGGATCAACAGGCAAATCCTCAACACGCATGCCACCATCTACCATCGATCTTTGAACTTCGCTTAGTACATTGGACTTCAAAAGTACCTGTTCAATACGAATCCTGAAAGATACACAGAATTTTAAAAATGGAAAGGAGGAAAGTGGGGAAGAACTGTTCTAATGAAGAAAATTACTCCCATCTGTCCAATTTTATCTGTCCTACTTACTATTCATTGTTCAGAACTCTTTTTTTAGTTGTTTATTTTCTTTATTATTTTTACTTATTTTTAAATTTGATTTTTTGTGTTTAATAGTACTTTTAGTGTAGTTTCTTAATATATAAATTTTGTATATTAATATTAAACTTAATATTATGAAAAAATGAATTAAAAATAACTTCAGTCAAGCCTCGTTATCCAAACCAGACACATAAAATAGGAGTATAACTTAGCATAGCCTTCATATATACCATTGTTGAAACATATGGAATAAAAAAGATAAGTTCCATAGTTCCATAGTTGTCTGCTTTCCACAATGTAACAATAACCGCAACAACAATGACGATGATAAATACCTGCAGTCTTTCAGATGAAAAAAGGCGTCTGAATTTGTAGTAAGCAACATTAAGTATGTCTGAGCCTGTCAACACAACTACACTATATCATTTCCCAACTAATAAAAGATTGATAATGGCAATCCAGCAAATGAACCTTCAAGCGTTGACATTCATTTCATAATGTACTTGAAAGTTCTAACAATTTTTTTTTTAACCAAAAAAAAATAATCTAAATCTTAGCCAACTTACATCAAGATAATGCACATATGCATATAAAAATGCCATGGGATTGTATCTTGGCAGGCAAATTGGTGAAAAACATTCAGAAGTTCTGCATGAAGACAAAGAGGTATTAAGCATTAAAGCCTTCAACCAATTCCACATTACACAGACAGAATAGAGCAAATCAGCAACTCAAAAAGGAGAAAAATGAAATGTAGTTTCACAATAAAGAGTGAATATTAAGACAGGATTGAAAAAGTTAAAAAAGGACTTGCCTAAATGATTCAGAAGACATGACAAAGTTGGAGAGTAATAGCATATCATCGGCGTTCAGTGAAGCTTTTTGTGCACCAACAAGACTAATGACCTAGATTCAAAATTTTCAATTTAGTATGCTTCAAAAAATTAATAGCATAATGGCATGATTGTTGCACTATAAAATAGTCTTTTTAAAGTAAAACAGAAAATACTAGAAAAAAGATTAGCATAATAAGACCTTGTGTTTACACATTAATATGGCAAACAAGACCCCAGAATCCGCAATATCTTGCAATATTGCACCAGCAGCTTGCCTTGTTGCATAAGCAAGTGGGAGACATGTGTACGCATGAAGAAAGGTTGCAGGGTTCCTAATTTTAAAGCACAGAAGTAATACCAAGATTAATCTCTTGAAGTATAGTCATGCATAACAATGGACAATGAAAAACATCATTATTCCTATACACACACACACACACACACACAAACATTATATGTGTCAATCCAGGTTATATCATTGATTTTTGTTATTCTTGTGTGCTAATAAAAGTATACATTGTACTTTGAATGTTGTACACTTCATATTTATTGGACAAAACTACCCTTGCATCATTATAACTCCGTTACTATTTAATGAATTTTAACATTGATGACTCATTACTATTATCATTTTTTTTAATTATCATTTTATTAAAATCATCATAAAATTAACAATTAATTTAATTGTAGATTATATTTTAATTAAATATCTAGGAATGTTAAATCATATGAATGTATATATAAAACATATATTATTTGTGTATATATACCAACATATGTGGGTGTTAGCCTAGTATTACCAATATTATTTTATTTTATTTTATTTTTTTTGTAAATATACATTTTATCATAATTGTTTACATTATTATTAAACAAAAAAAAAATTATTTCTTTTTTTTTTCCGGTATATTTTTCAAAAATGATAATTTAAATTTACCACTTTAAGGAATTGCAAAATATAATTTGAACTAAAATTTTTTAATTATTTTTGTTTAGCATAATCTTAATATTGGGCATGAATTTCCACTCATCGTGCATACAAAATGTTAGTATATATATATAAAAATTTTAGAGAATAGAGAATGAAACTATAACCTTCATATGGAGTCTCAACTCTCAAAGCACCTCACTTAATGGAAGCATATGCCATATGGTGAATATTAGTCAAGAGGCAGGAACCCCATTTATTGGGGGAGCTCCATAAAGGAAATGTAAATTTTGGTGGGATAAATGTGCTGGGCCCACTGGCTTCACATGCCCCAATACGGGTTCATGATTTTCCCTAATTTCCTTTCTAAATTAATTCCTACTAATACTCTTAATAGAGAGGCAACCCAAAAACTTGTTCCTGCAGTTAGCTTGGCCAAGATGATATGGTCCCCCTCTAAAACTAATAAAATAACAAGTGGTGAGGCTAGCCCTATTCACCATACATCCTGTGAAGAACTTGCTAGTTATATATATAATTATATAAACTCTTTTGAAAGAAGACTGGAAAAAAAAATTATCCTTGTAATATTTTGCATGAAATAAGTGCTAGGAAAAGTGAATTGAGAAACCAACCAATTGAAGGAATGAATCAGAGAAGAGAAAACAACATCTGTTCCTCCCAGTAATGGCGTCATATCAAATTTTGGGTTCTTCTCAAAACATCTATTCACGGATTTTGTAAGAATAAGAATCATCTGCATATATGCATAACTACTGTAAGAGGAATACATCTATGACAAGATATTTTAGTAATCTAACAAGCTTAGGCAGAAAAACTGGCAAACAAATGACACAATCATCTAATGATACAGGGAAACACAAAAATTACCTATATATGTGCCAAATAAAGAAATATCTTTTAAGATACCTGACCATAGAGCAGCTCCAGTTGTCCCCTTAGTGACTCGTAAGGCTCCTCTGTACAGCTTATGCAAACTAAGTAAATAGGTCCTTTGACAAGAAAAGCCACCTGAAAGAAACCTTAATGCTTTCAAAAACGGAATAACTGTGACACGTGATACTAATGATTAGTGTAATCTTCTACATGGCACATTAATTTTCCAACTTTCATAGGAATAAAAAGAGGCTAAGCATACTAATAAGAAACTATTTGCAATGAATATGTTCTGTACTAAACTAGAAAACAGCCAATATACTAAAAAGATTGAATTTTGTTATAAACTAACATTAAGAAGTCAATTATTGAGACAAAGCTGCTGGAAGTGTTGTATCAGAGAAGGGAAGGTGCAAGTTCTGAAGAGAAAAGAGATATACAACTGACCTGGTGTTTCCCCGCTCTAATCAATTTAACTCTATCACCTCTGAAGGACCAAAAAAAAAAAAAAAAAATCTTTCAGGCTTCAGCAAAATTCCCAGGATTCCAACTCACTAATGATATTTTGGCTTATGGGTGGTAAGGAAACAATCAAAAGCAATTTACCCATTTTCTACAAAGGAGATGATGGCTTGCAAAGTGGCAGAGAATCCAGCTAACTTGTGTTCATCTCCATATCTTTAAATTACAAATGACAAAAGTAAGAAAACTGGAAAAGAAAAATTTTGAATAAAAAGAAATAAATACTTTGTAAACCAGGGCAAGCCATGTCATTAATGGAGGGAATAATTAATTAAAAACCACGGTAGAATTCTGAAATCTCAATTTGACATAGATACATACCTAGAATATATTGGTTTTCCCGAATGGCTCAAAATAAAAAAGTGCTTCTTCCTTTTTCTCCAAGAAAGTGAAGCATCATCCTGTACTTCGTTATTCAAATAAACAAGAGATGATGACAAAAGAGAATATCAACCCCTTCTGCAACACAAGGAGAATACCTACAGCAATATTTTTCTTCTTCTTTTTGTTCTGTAAACAAATTTACTATCAAAAACTATTATTTGTATGTGAATAAAAAACCTCTGTTCATATTTCAAAATCAAGATTCAACAGAAGCATATATTAAAAGCTAATTCAAGCCTTTAGTCATGCCCATTCTGCATTCTCCATTGCATGTGCCAATAGGACAGAATTGATGAGTTTTACAAAGACAAGAGCCAAATCGTTATTACAATCTTGAAAAAAAACTTTTATTACTAAATTAAATCCATGGCTTCAGTTCAACACAAGCATAAACGAAGGTATACACGGGGCATCTTGAAAAAGAAAGGGTTTGCTAAAGTATAGAACTGCTCAGAACCTACCTCATCACCATGGCGTTTTCCTGGAGCCCACTGCAAATTAGACTCCGAAACTCCATCACCGGAGTCACCATTACCGACTTCGCAAATCTCATCCCCAATTCCAGAGCCCCTGCTACTGGACACACTACTCCCCCTCTCGCCCGCATAAGCACTGCTACTTGGGCTTGGCAACGCATCCGCTTCATCCACCTCCTCGGAATTGCTCCTCCAAATCAACGTACTGCTGCCAGCTCTGGATGAGCTGGCTTCGTCCAGAAAATTCCCAAAATTCGGCTCCTCCTCAGCACCCGGGTCTTCTGTTTCTATTTCATCATGAAACGATCCATTTCCAAGCTCATTCAACTGCGACGTTCCAGAGGCATCAAAATCCGTCTCTGACTCCGTTTCAGGGTAAGACATTGAAATGGAAGCTAGTTGATTCTCTATAGCATCCAGAGACTGATCGATTAGATTGGGGGAAGGGTTAGGGTTAGGGTTGGGATCAGAGTCGTTATTTCCATCATTGTCGGATGATGCAGCAGCAGCCGCCGGCGACGAAGATGAATTCGAATCGGAGAGCATTGCGAGAAGATACTATTTTATGGCTTCTTCACTCTCTCTCCTATTTTATGGCTTCTTCACTCTCTCTCACAGTCCTCTGCTACGTTTTCAACTTTTTGAACGTGGCCAAGCCGGACTCAGCCCTGGTAGGTGGACGACCCGGGTTTAGGTTTAGCCGCTACTTCCTCATTCTTTATTTACTCCTAAATTTTGAGTTTTTTGCACTTTTAGTCCCACGACTATAGTGGTACTGGCAGAATTGATCCACGACTTTTGAACCTTGCAATTTTAATCCACGATTATTGATTTTTTTGTAAAAATGGTCATTCCGGCCACTTTTCCGTCAAAATTTCACTGGAAAAAAAAATTCTTCATTTTTAGCCGGGTTAAAATTGACATTTTACTTATCTCAAAAAATTAAAAGAAAAAAAATTGATATTTGACTACATACAATATTACTGGGCTACATACTACTGCCCCAGGCGGCAGTGGAGCAGGCAGGGCTGTCAGTAAGCGGCGGAGCGACCGTGGCGTTCCCCGGGCTAGTTGGGTTATCCGGCAGCAGCATTGGAGTGGTATATGTACTCCGCTGCCTGGGGCAGTAGTATGTAGCCCAGTAATATTGTATGTAGTCAAATATCAATTTTTTTCTTTTAATTTTTTGAGATAAGTAAAATGTCAATTTTAATCCGACTAAAAATAGAGAATTTTTTTTTTCGGTAAAATTTTGACGGAAAAGTGACCGGAATGATCATTTTTGCAAAAAAATCAATAGTCGTGGACTAAAATCACAAGGTTCAAAAGTCGTGGATCAATTCTGCCAGTGCCACTATAGTCGTGAGACTAAAAGTGCAAAAAACTCCCTAAATTTTACTCAAATAAGTTATTTTCTCATGTTAATGTCAATACAAATGTCTACGATTCTAAATCAAAATTTTATATGTGTAAATAAAAACAAATGAAAATATACATAACATTTTTTATCTTTTATATCATGATTAAGTTTGACAGTGCACTAAAAACTCTTTTGCATATATAGGAATGTCAATTATATCGTACCCTATTAAGAATTCAAACTCCATGTCCTGACAACGGGAATGGAGATAAAAATAAGGGACACCCTGAGATGTAATTTTTTAAAAATTAAGTATATAGTTATATTAAGCCCTAGAACGCATTAGTACGTATATAATATATATAATTTTAAAAATATTATAAAACCATTGGATATATTTCTTGAGATATGGATATTTAAATTGTACTTAAATTGAATATATATATATATATATATATATATATTATTTATTTATTTAAATGTAATTTAATTTTTAATATTTTTATAAATTAAAAATGAGATAACGGATTCTCCATTCTCAGATAATATCCGTGGCAACGCATCCGTTTCATCCACTCGGAATTGCTCCTCAAAACCACTTCTGGTTCTCGATGAGCTGGCTTCGTCCAAAAATTCCCAAAATTCGGCTCCTCTTCACCACCAGCGTCTTCTATTTCCTCATGAAACGATCCATTTCCAAGCTCATTCAACTACGACGTTCCAAGGGCATCAAAATCTCCGTCTCGAACTCGGGTTCGGGATAAGACATTGAAATGGAAGCTAGTTATTCTCTATAGCATCCAGAGACCGATGATTGAATTGGGGAAGGGTTACGGTTGGGTCGGGTCGTTATTCTGATCATTGTCGGATGATGCAGCAGCCGGCGACAAAGAGGAACTCGAATCGGAGAGCATTGCGAGAAGATACTATTTTATGGCTTCTTCACTCTCCCGCAGTCGTCCTCTGAACGTGGCCAAGCCCGACACAACCTATAACACCGTAAATGGTAGCTGGTTGGCCCGGGTTTAGGTTTAGACAGTACCCACTACTTCCTTAATCTTTATATTATATCATGGACCAGGGTTCAAGTATACTCAAAAAAAGTTACTAGCTTCGAATAAGAGCTTATTTTGAAACGTTACTTTAGGTATCGTTTCAAAAATAAGCTAGTAGTCCTAACATTTTTCGCTCTTTATCCATATTATTTTAAATAAATGACATCATTTATCTTTTCCAATTAAAATCATTTTAGTTTTTTCTGCTCTCCTATTTAATTTTGGAAAAAAATATATTTTATTTTTCAATTATAAGCTTCATCGGGGCCGCTTGGATTGTTACATAATGAGCCTCATGAGGTTATTTATACTTATTCAACATCCTCAACGGTTGGTGGAGATCTACTTGATCGTATGACTATGATTATATCTCTAAAATCCACCTTAAAATTCTATACAACCATATGGGTTCTGTAATATTTTATAAGACTTTATAAATATTTTCGATATGGAATTCGCCCGATCCCCAAAAAATATATATGTATATAACTATGTACATTTAAGCCCAGAGCGCACAAATATATGTATTGCTATGTGTATAATATATATAATTTTTAAAATATTATAACCAATAACCATTTTTTTTAGTACTGACTCTTTACAATGTAATATATGTTCATAACTACTTTATCAATCTATTGAAACACAAAATGTTAATAGTCCGCCTCCACTAAGACTTTGTTTGGCAAAGCTTATTTATGAGCTTATAGCTTATTTTAAATTACTAATAAGCTATAAGTTCTGTTTGGTAATGTTCCCAAAATAAGCTCCTAGCTTAAAATAAGAGTTTATGTTGGAATGCTACCTAAGGTAGCATTTCAAAATAAGCTCCTAGCTTCTTAACTTTTTTTTTTCATCTTTATCCTTATTATTTTAAAGAAATGACATAATTTACCTTTCCCAATTAAAACATTTTTCTCTTCTCCTTAATATATCCACAGCTTTCACCGCAATTATTATTATTATTATTATTATTATTATTATTATTATTATTATTATTATTATGAGATTTGCAAAAATATTGCTACTTCATTATGAGATGCTAGATCATGATTATGCTAATAGTTTTATTTCAAAATGTTAATTTTTTTAAAAGACAAAATGTTAAATTTTAATATGTAAACAAACTAACTTAAATTTTATGAAGATGTCCTTTTTGGTCTTTTTACATTTATCAGCTTATCAACAAGCTAATTTTACCAAACACTTCCAATCAAAACAGCTAGTTTAACAGCTCTTCAGTTTTCAGCTCCGAGCTTATAGCTTTTCAGCTTTCAGCTCCTAGCTTATAGCTTTTCAGTTAGGTTTGCCAAACAGAGCCTAAAGCTTGAACTCACAACCTCTCACATAGGAGAGCAGCCTGGTACCAGTGAACCACAAAATGCTTGATAAATATGAAAAAAAAATGAATATTTTAATAGTATTTAAAGTTGAATATATATATATATATATATATATATATATATATATATATATATATATATATATATATATATATATAGTGAAAGGTTTCAGTGCGGTTGATTAATGTGCGTAAGTTTTGTACTTAATGTGTGTGAGTCTTGTGCTTAATGTGCCTGAGATTTGTACTTAATGTGCGTGAGTGTGTAATGTTAATGTGCGTGATTTTTATACTTAAGGTGTGTGAGTATTGTGCCTAAGGTGCGTGAGTTTTGTGCTTAATGTGAGTTGTTGTCGAAACTTTAAAGTACATGAGTTTTATGCTTAATGTGCGTGAGTTTTGTGTTTAATGTACGTGAGTCGTGTGCTTAAGGTGCGTGAGTTTTGTACTTAATGTGCGTGAGTGTGTACTTAATGTGAGTTGTTTTTTAAAACTTAAGGTGCGTGTGTTTTTGTGATTAACATGCGTGAGACTTGTGTTTAACATGCGTGAGACTTGTACTTAACATGTGTGAGGCTTGTGCTTAACATGCGTGAGGTTTGTGTGCTTAATGTGCGTGTGTTGTGTACTTTAAGTGCGTCAGATTAATGTTTAAAATGCGTCCACCTGCACAACCGCACGGGAAACCTCAAATGCACCTGATCCCTTCCCAAAATCACTAATAAATAATTGTGGATTTTTACTTCATTCATTCATTCATTGTTTTTTAAATGTTGTTTAATTCTAAATATTTTTATAAATTATAAATGGGGTATGGGATTCTATGTCTCCCGATAATCCCTGTGGGGGTAGGGATGTGAAGATTTTTCCCTTCTTAGGTGTGAATTTGGTACGTGAAACAAATTAGTAATTGTGTTTTATGTTACGAATTTATGTGTCTTGTGTTTTGAAATTATGTACTTAAAATACAAATTATGTACTCAAATCATATTTGAAAATAAATAAATACTCTGTATATAACATATGTATATGTCTTGTTCTATGATTTTATATATTTGTGTTATGAAATTCTGTATTTTTCAAGTATGAATTATATACATCGTCTTTTAATTAGTCCAGTATATAAATTACCGCAAATTATGCTGTGCAACCGAATGCACCTTGCAAGGTGCATACGGTTGCAAAATGGTGCCGTTTTGGTTAAAAAAACGCGCGTCCCACTTAAAGAAGAAATCAGGTTCGATTCCCGGCAATAGCATTTTTATATATCCATAAATTCATAACTATATAACCACAATTTCATAACTATATATCCACAATTTCATAACTATATATCCACAGTGAATGAATGAAGTAAAAATCCACAATGAATGAATGAATGAAGTAAAAAATCCACAATGAATGAATGAATGAAGTAAAAATCCACAATGAATGAACTAAATATCCACAATATATAATTGAACTAAATATCCACAATGAATGAACTAAATATCCATAAATTCATAACTATATATCCACAATTTCATAACTATATATCCACAGTGAATGAATGGAGTAAAAATCCACAATGAATGAATGAATGAAGTAAAAATCCACAATGAATGAATGAATGAAGTAAAAATCCACAATGAATGAACTAAATATCCACAATATATGATTGAACTAAATATCCAGAATGAATGAACTAAATATCCATAAATTCATAACTATATAACCACAATTTCATAACTATATATCCACAATAATGCTATTGCTGAGAGTCGAACTTGATTTTTTTTTTTTAAGTGGAACGCACGTTTTTAATCAAAACGACGTCGTTTTGAACCGTATGCACCATGCACATGGTACATTCGGTTGCACAGCATAACTATTGATAAATTACCCTACTTCCTCCAACAGGACCTAAATTGACCCGATTCTGATGATATTTTATTTGTTGATATTGGGCCTGTTTACAAAATATTCAGTTCGAAGGCCCGTTGTATACTAATCATTTTTTTGGACTGGAGATCCAGGCCTAAATAGAAATTTTTTAGAATTGGTCTCATAGCATCTGTTAGGTAAATCTGGTAAATTGAAAATTTTTGAATAAACAAAGGGCAAGGCGCAAATTATACCCCGGAAACGTGTTCACCATTCAAACGGTGTCGTTTTTACAGGAAAAAGAAAATTTAGTTAATGTGCTGTTAACAGCGCGCGTTTGTTCAGATTATGAATTTTCTGTTATGAGATTATGAATATACTGTAAATTCATAATCTCATAACAGAAAATTCATAATCGCATAAAAGAAAAACATTTATTAAATTATGAATTTTTTGTTATGAGATTATGAATTTACAGTTATGTAATTATGAATTTTCTGTAAATTCATAATCTCATAATAGAAAATTCATAATTTTATAACAGAAAATTCATAATCGCATACCAGAAAATTCATAATCTCATAACAGAAAATTCATAATCTCATAAAAGAAAATTCATAATTTCATAACTGCACATTCATAAATCCATGCCTGTACATTCATAATTTATGAATGTTAAAGAAACTTGCGCGAAGAGAAAGTGAAACCGCGAAATGTGAAAATGAAGAAGAAAGTCGCGCGGTTAATTAAGAGAAAAAAAAAAAAAAAAAAAAAAAACTGTGCACCGTTACCGTTGGGACCGTGTTCACCATGGTGAACACAGTTCCATAGCATAACGATTGAGGGCAAGGAGGGGAATGGCAAATTATACCGTGGACTGCGGTTCACAATGCGGTTCGATAACTATTTGATCCGTATCCATGGCTGTGTAAACATTGCTCCACTAAAAATTCATGTTTTGATTTGGGCTAATACTTAAATATAATCTCGTGAAATAGTGATTTGCAATCAATTTCTATTTCCTCAAACTTAGGGATATGAAAACTTTCATTTAACTTGGGATGATATTAATTGGTTTAATTCATGACTATTAATGAATATAAAGAGTTTTTTTTTTTTTTTTTGGTGTATTTGGGATTTCCACTATCGGACAGAGTGACTAATTCTCTTGTTGAATTTAGACACCTCTTTTAAATGAGATAACTAGTCTGGAGATTCCCATAGTGCAGTATGTGGTATCCTTGTTTTACGGAAATTTTACATATGTTATTTCACCTCTTTATACATTCAATAATGTATTTCCACTTCAAAAGTGAGGTGAATAAAGTTTTTTTTTAAATAAAAATAAAAATTCACATCCATTATATTTTATGATGTAGTGTGAGTGTTTGATCAACAAAGATACTCATCACAAGATTGTAAAATATTTGTGAAATTGTTAAATAATGATGAGCTAGCTATTTTTCTTATTATATATTTATGATATATCAAAATACATAGCTAATAAAACAAATTAAACAACTAAAACAATACCAACTACTAGTACTTGATCTTAAAAGATTGAAGTGCTACAACTAACATCCAACATTGTAAATGATGATTTGGTGGATGACTCAAAACCTTATAACTGACCCCATTCACCCTACTATCCTTAAAAATATTAAGTGATCACATTTATTCACTTCTCATAATGTATGAAAAATTCGATCAACCTTATCTTGATTCAACTTCTTATAGTTACATAGGAGCGTGAATTTCCCGACCTAATGCACCTTCACTCCAAAACACGACTTTCCCGGCCTAATACACCTGCACTCCAAACCATGATGAGCTAGATGAGTATCTAATCAAAACATCCACCCAAGTATAAAACGTACAATAGTTATATCATGGTATAGGGTGCATGTTTAACATGTTTCTATTTTTTCTACTTACTTTTTTTTTTTCAACATATTTTTTTTTTGTACAAACAAAATTAATATATGAAAAATGTATTATTAAAAAGTTCTAATTGAGATCTTTTAAATGACACACACACAAACATACATAGAAAGAGCATTATGGATCTACTACAGATCGAAGTGAATGGAAATAGATTTGATGTATCAACCGTTTACTGTTTATGTACATTAAGGCTTAAATTTATGATCATATAGATAAAATATTATAAATATAGTGCATGATGATTGTTGTTAAGCATGATGAACATGTAGTGTAATGTTTATTTACATTAAACTTTATTTTTTATGAATATATAAAAAAATGTTATAAACCCACTCTATAGTGAATGAAAATATATATGATATACATGCTATTCAGTGCTTATGTACATTTAACTTTATGTTTATGAACATATAGAACAATAATTTTTTAAATCTATCACAACATTGAAGATTTGTATTTGTGTTTGGATTGAGTACTTTTTTGCATTCAGAAATGTATAATTTGGTGTTAATTAAATTTCAAAACTAAATTATATTGACTCAATTTACTCCTGCGAAATAAGAAAATTATATTATAAAAATATGATTTTTTTTTAATAATATCATTTGAGTGTTCATATATATACAAATTTAATTTCTTTTAGTTGCATGTGAATTAGATAGGAAATTATGAATCAAAGTTTTAAAATTGGGTTTATGTATTCATAAGCAACGGCAAGTTAAAAATAAACAAATTTAATGATCATTTATTAAAAATAATGATTTCAAAAGTAAAAATATTAGATTAAAAAAAATTACAGGTGAATTAGTAAGTGAAATTGGGTACCCGTTTAAACGGGCTTTTTGTCGGGGCTAGTTGGTTGGCAATCCGGTTCGGAGTTAAGATCCAAACCCGTATTCGTATTCTCCATCATCACCGTCGTCTCCGGCGGCTCTGCTCTCTCTTCAAAATCTTCGCGTCGGAAAGATGGATTCCACGGCCTAACCGCCGCCGCTTTCCGCCCACCACCGCCACTCTCGCCGTTAACTTTGCCGAAATACTTCACAGCTACTTGTATCCTCCGCAAGATGGCAAAGAACTCCTCCACCTCCTCCTCCTCCGGCGCCGGATTATTGGTCTTCTCGTCCTCTTCCGCCGCCGCCGCCCTCGCCTTCTTCCCGGGAACTTCACCGTCAATCAAGCGCTTCCTTTTCTCCACCCCCATTTGTCTTTAGAGAAAAAAATGGAAAAACGTCTCCGTATTATTGTTACCGACAGAGAAGAACGTGGAATATAATTGTGGGAAATGAGTTTGCAGTTTCGCGTGTAGTTGTTAAGTGGGTGTCGTTTAGTGTTGGCGTAAAGGGCTGTTATATAGAAGCGGGTTCTGGAAGCACACGTCAGCTTGCGTCATAGAATGACGCCAACTGCTTATGTAAGGCTGACGTAATATTCATGATATTTTTTTTTTTAAATAGTAACCACTAGTAACTATTTATAACTAACTACTTTCTCAACCTACTTTAAAAAAAAAAGAGTAAATACCCAAAATAGTCCATCGACTATAGTTAAATTCACAAATTGATCCTCGACTTTTAATTTCAACCAATTAAGTCCTTAACTTTGTAATTTTGACACGATTTGGTCCTCCATCTATTTGACCGTTTGTTGACTGTGATCGACGATCTCCAGAAGAACCTTCAGCTCTCGTCGGAGCATGTGGAGCCTCCAGGATGACGTTGCACTAGTTCGGAAACACGTCGTCTTCTTCGCTCTGGTACGAACTCAACTACATTGAATCCAAAGGGAGGATGTAGAAAGGCGACCGGATTTGGTAGATTGCTTTCGGCAATGGATTCAAATGTAACAGTGCGGTCTGGAAATGCAACTAGAACCTTAAAAAATCGACGATGGACCATGAAATTACATATATATCCTCAAAAATCACAGTCAACAAACGGTCAAATAGACAAATGACCAAATTGTGTTAAAATTACAAAGTTAAGGACTTAATTGGTTGAAATTGAAAGTCGATGACCAATTTGTGAATTTAGCTATAGTCGAGGGACCATTTTGAGTATTTACTCAAAAAAAAATAAATCACTTTCTCAAATTACTGAAGCACAAAAAGTTAATATCGCCCATTAAGGTTTAAATCCAGACTTCTCATATGGGAGAATCACTTCGTGTTACTAGACCACAAGGTCATTAACCATGATGATTTCTTAATTTAATTAAATTAAAAGAAAAGAAAAGAAAAGAAAAAGTAGCACCTTGATGTCAACAAGGCGCCCGAAGCCTATTGGAAAGAAATTTATCTAACGATTACGAGTCGGATCAAGATAAAAATATAATATTTATATTATAATACTAATCAAGAATAAATTGTTTATAACTTTATAAAGGAAAATGTTTTTTTTTTTTTTCATTTTATTTACAGGAAGTAAACAATCATTACTTGACAGTGTACTATAATGGGACGCATGGTTTATAGGAGTTGTTAATTGCGTGTATCCCCCTGATATTAAAAAAAAAAAAAAATTCACTATGAGTTAAATTCAATTTTTTTAACTGACTAACTCAAACTATGAAACCGAATAAATAACTCCATAAGAAGTCAAATTTGAAATTTTATAGTTAATTATTAAGATAATTGCCAGACTAATTTTACTAGGGGTTGCGGGAAAAAATATATGATTGGGATCTCTGATCTATATGCATGATTAATCTGTGAACTCCCAGCAGAATTAATTTTCACGAAGTGTTATCGGGCATAACATCACCATATGAGACTGAGATGTATGCATTTTTGGCCGGAAACCTGACATTCTTTCTGCAAGTCCAGGAACAAAGAAATTGGAACTATACCCATACGGGTTTAGCTTACCTTATTGGTTCAGTAGGTAGCATTTGGGAGAAAAGAGCAATGATCGAACTTCAGCAGTGGTAGTGTAGGGATTATGTTTAAAGTGGACAGATCCTTTGTACGCACCTGTCTACTGAGTCGTTGAGTCATCGTAATCGTAATTTACATTATCCCAAATGTTTTGTCGGGGTATGAGATTATTGGGTTAGGGATTCAACTATTTGGAAGAATAAGAAATTGGAACTATTGGAGAATTTTTTTTAATTCTTATTTTTAAAGAGTTGTATTATAGGATTGCTGATATACTAAGTGATGATTAGTTATTAGGGGGGATTGATTTTCTTTTCGAACACGCCAACCTCGGAAGAATGTCGGCTGGCCGGTGAGAATCTTGCAATTTTTCCCTTCATATTTTCTGAGGAATCACATACTGTTGGTGTTTTTTTTTCTCCCCTTTTTAAAAAACACTGAACTTGTATGATATTTGTTGATCTAAAATTTGGCATAATATATATACTTTAAACATTCACGTTATCAAGAAACATGTATATATTATATTGCAATCCATACTGAATTATGTAAAAAGTTTTTAGAAAAAATATATATGAAAGATTTATAATGATGGATTTAGTTAATCTGGGATGGACCCAAATCAATAAATCCGCATAAGAACGCAATACGAATAATAAATAAAGAATATAGAATGACATCGTAAAAGACCGTGAGACCATATATTATATTAAATGCCGTAGAATTGGTTATTACAACGATTTGGTAAAACAAAGTGTGTAGAATAGTAAGTAGATGTCCTAACAAGGTGAGGTAGGGGGTTTTTATATGCAACAAACCCCCCAACCGCTCCCCCTAAAAAGGGGGGCGATTAGATCGCTCTTTGACCGGGGACCCGAGCGTACCGGGTCGGGTCCCGAGCTCGCTATGAGCCGAGCTCGGGTAGGGTCATGCTACCCGACTCGAGCCCCACGTAACTCGGGTCGGGTCGGGGCACCTCCATGGTGCCGTGGGCCAGGTTGCTTTTGGGCACCAACGCGGTGCTCTGGGTCTGTGGTTTTATCCCGGGTCGGGTCGTGGGTATAATATATCCGTCATATAATAATATACATGATTCTGAAATAAGAACAATCAACCTGTGATTTCTTACAGTAAAGCCTTAATATCTACTATACTAATAAGAGTCCAAGAGAGTTAGGCCTATAATGGGTAGAAAAAATGGCGGTCACAGATTTTAATCAAATGAATGGCTCAGATTGATTAAAAGATTGATCAGATTTAAATTTTACACTAAAATTTCCTAAAATACCCACACACCGTTACTAATTCCGTTAAAATTTTAAGAATTGCCGTTAGTTCACCGTTAACTTACTCATTGATTTCAATAAAAAAAAAAAGTCTTAGGTTCGAACCTCATCCCAATCAAAGTTGTCATAATTAGTACTCTATTTTACTCTTATTAAATTATATATAAATAATAATTTAGTAGTTACAACAAAAAATAATATATATGCATTTCTTTAATTTAGAATTATGTGTCCACAATACCTTTATTCAAAAAAAAAATTATTCATTATCAATAAATTAAATAAGAGAAATAATTTTATTAGTTATATTGTCTTTATTTTTCTTCAATATAAAAATTCTTTATATTCAAATTTATTAATTGATTATATTCGCTACATTGTCCTTACAATGTCTTTATTCAGTGAAAAAAAAATTATTAATTATCAATAAATTAGTTAAAAGAAATATTTTCATTAGTCATATTGTCTTTATTTTTCTCAAATGTAAAAATTTTTACATTCAAATTCATCAATTGATTATATTCACTACATTATCTATTATCTTTTTTGTGCACTATTTTTCTAATTAAATATCAAAGTTATAATACAAAATAATGTTATATATTTATTTACAAAGTATTTTATTAATACCATGAAAAAATTAAAAAATATAATTAATAAAGCCAACCATATTAACTACTTGAGAAATTTTGTGACAAAGAGAGTATTCAAATCAATCAGTAGTTAGTGGTTAGCGTTAGCAGATTATCTTTTTTTTTTTTTTTTTTTGAATGCTTTTTTTTTTTTTGAATGCTACTAGCTCTATTACATTGTAGTATCTATTCATATACTTTCTCAACCTATTGAAACACAAAGAGCTAATAACACCTCCACTGAGGCTCGAACTCACAACCTTCCAAGTAGAAGTCCAACCCGGATACCATTGGACCACATAGTCCTGGTACCAGCGAATTTATTTAATTATTAACATTGGGTAGAAAAAATGACCGCCAAATTATTAAATCAAATGAATGGTTCATATTGTTCAGGTTTTAATTTTTTTCTTTTAAGATTTTCTAATTTATCCTTAATTATATGATTATCCATTTAACTTTTCTGTTAATTCACCGTTAGTCTAATTCTAATATTAAAGTCTAATATAGAATTATAACTACACCATTAATCTAATTCTAATATTAAAGTCTTAATAGAACTTAACCAAAAATCCTAATGTCGGAATCTCCTCAAACAATATTTGTATATATTTAATATTTTATGCCCTAATTTTTATTTGTTCTCCCTTATGTCCCGTATTTGGTTTCAACTATACCTATACAATTATTTTTTTGACAATTATAATTAATCTTGACTATATTATCTTGCATTTGTAAACTTAGAATTACCTATTTAACTCGCACGGGCTTAGCTCAATGGTTTTGTGGGTAGTATTTGGGAGAAGAGACCAAGGTTTGAACCTCGGCGGCGGCATTGCGGGAATTATGTCCAAAGTGGGCAGATGCTGAACCATTGAGTCACCGTGATTTACAACTTCCCACAATGCTCTGTCGGGTCGGAGTGTGGGGGGCCCTTGGGGTTGGGGACTCAACCTTTGGGAGAAGAATTACCTATTTAAATACGCAAATTCAACCTTCAATTATCTATGCATGAACAATTTCAATATAATCCTGCCTTAATATACTTTAAAGTACTTATTTGACAAAAAAGCATTGGGATAGTATTTAACAAAAAAGCATTGGGCATTATCCCAATCGTGCAATGCGTGTAAAAAACTAGTTCTTTATATATGAGGGTTTAGGTAATCGTGCAATATATGATTGTCTATCCATTGTGTAAATCAATTGTTGAAGATTGCTGAAAGCCTGAAAAATAAGGGAAAAAACTCAAAAAATGATGATTTTAGTTTTTTTTTTAAAGGTTAAACTTAATTCATTGATTCAACGGACAAACAGTCAACAAGAAAAGGGGTTGGAAAATCAACCCATTCCCCGCAACCTGACTCAGAAACGGCCTCCCTAACAACAAGGGGACGATTTTAGTTTTATAAATATTACAAATTTAATTATAAAAAATTATCTCATAATTTTTTTTATTTTTTATTTTTACATTAAACCTTAAGGTGGGATAAACCTTAGTTTGATGACCGATTGAGATTACTCAT